TCGTACATGACGAAAGTGCTGTAAATACCGAGTAAAACGGATGTGCTCTTAAGATGGTTTTGAGCAAGTGTAGTTGGTAGGGGGGGGGCCTACTACTACTACTACTACTACCACCACTACCACTACTGCTACCACTACCACTACCACTACCCACTACCACTACCACTACCACTACCACTACTACTACTACTACTACTACTACTACTACCACTGCTACTGCAACTGCTACAACTACCACTGCTACTGCTACTGCTACCGCTACTACTACTAGTACTACTACTACTACGACGACTACTACTACCACTACGACTATTACTACGACTGCTACTACGACTACTACTTCGACTACTACTACTACTACGACGACGACGACTACTACTACTACTACTACTACCACTACTACTACCACCCTCACTACCGCTTACTACGGCTATGCTGACTACGACTACCACTACGTCGGCGACGACTAGTACTCCTCCGACAACGACGACGACGGCGACGACGACCACTACTACAGTACCACGTACTACTACTAACTACTACTACTTACTACGACGAACTACTACTATAACTACTTTGACTACCACTAACTTTCACTAAGTACCACCTACTACTACTACTACTACTACTACGACGATTTGACGACGACGACGACGACTACTACTACTACGAATGCGTGTGCTGCTGATGCTGGTACTGCTACTTCTACTAGGCTAGAGCGACTTCCACTTTTAAAGAGCCAAGATCTGTCTTCCGTACGAGATGATTGCCTCGTACATGGGCTGCTAGCAAGCAGCCAGCAGTCCTTCAGGAAGGAAGCGGCGTGGCTTTGTCTCGGGCAGGGGGCCAGTGACGACTTCTCGCAACCTGTTCAGGCGCAGGGTTGGAAAGACACGCCAGAGGAAAGCCTGGCTTCCAGACTGCAGTTAGCAACAGCTCGTGCAGCAAAACCTATTAGCGCCCCACACCGAGGCTTCCTAAACATGTCTCCGAATCTCGTATCCCTGTGCACCTGGAGCCAAACTCTGAAAAATCGACGTGGCATCGGTTTATCCTTGGCCCATGTAGCCTCGTTTTTGAAGCACATCGGCAAGGTCACGCGGCTGCCGTCGTACTGCGACCAGATATTCTGGAGCAAAGGTATCCACAAGATCAGCATGGGCACGGCCTGGAGCGTTCTAGGCCCCTTGTTGTCCATACCACGACTTGTTGTTTGCAGTTGCATGACATGTGCTCTTCACAGTATGTCGGGGCATGCAATTTGTGCTTGAAGTCAGGGAAACATGAATGCGGTCAGTACTTTGGACTTCAGTAGAACCAGTACTCGCCGTACTTTTTGGAACTAGATTCGCCTTGGCCCTTCTACCGACCTGACCCAGTGATCATATCCATTTTCTCGTCGTCTTCGCCTACTTTTCTGGGGAAGGCATTGGGCCCACACGCATTTGCGGGCTCAGACTGGCATTGAACCCCTTGTCAGATTCTCAGTACAGCTTTGAAGACTTTGTAGCTTGGTGCGGTGCAGGAGATGCTCTCCGTGCAATGCTCAAGTCTGACCACAACATGTTGGAGTTGAGGGCAATCCTGTGGCTGTGAAGTCCGTGTGCTGATAGCATCACGCTTTCAGGGATTTGCGCTGGAAGCTGAAGCTCTTGCGCTCCAGAGCAGTTTATAAGTTGTCGTCCTCAATTTCGAGGTCGCATGCTGCTTTTGTGCAGAAACTTGGAGCAGAAGTGCATGCAAGCGGACAAAAAGCACGCATGTCTGCCAGAGCCCAGCATTGCTTTGTCCTTTCTCTGATGCAGGCCTCCTGTCACGATGCCTTCTTATGATATCGTCAAGACCGGGTTGGTAGGTACCGCAGCCCAATGTTTGCAAAGGGCTGAAGTGTACGTCCTTTTCGTTGCGTAAGCCAGCGTCCGGTCGTTTAGTAAAGCATTTTCCGTGACCTAGGCTTCAATTCCCGGAGCCTCTGGGACTACAGTGGTAGCAATGACAAGGAGACGTCGGAGGAGTGTGCCCGAGCTGTTCAGAAGGTGCGGTGTTGCTATGTTCTACTCAGTTTGCCACAGATCGTTAATGCTTCGCCCCGACCGCCTCGGCCCGCCAGAAGGACCAGGGTGTAGTAGTGTCCTGCCCAGCCGCAGAACGTCTAGCTGGATGTTTATGTGCTGTCCTTGAGTAACTGCAACCTCTTCGCAAGGCAATGCAACGGAAGCAAAGTCTCTTATCCACCAGACTGTATAAAACAGAAAACAAGTGAGAAGAAATGAAAACAAGTCTATCTATACTTAGCCAGGCGGGAGGCAAAAATACTTACATGAGAAAACAACAACACGCCAGAGACTACGGGCAGACGGCAGGATGCAGCAGTCAACGAGCGTCGGCCTCCGAGGGAGAAGGGCAGTTTCAAGCAGCAACAACAATAACAAGAGCAACAGCAACAGCACCACCACCACCAACAACAACAACAGCTGCTGCTGCTGCTGCTGTTGCTGTTGCTGTTTCTGCTCCTGCTGCTGACGCTGCTACTGAACCTACTGCTACTGCTACCACGAGTGCTATTGCACCGCTATTGCTGCTGCTCTTTCTACTGCTATATCCACCACTACAACAACCACGATTACTACAGCGGCCCTTTGGAGCAAATCAGGATAGTTCCCTAACCCGAGCCTGCTTTCCTGCAGTCAGTATCTCGAGTCGCGGGCGCTTAGAAACCACAATGGAGGGGGGGGGCCGGGCAATCGCTACAGACCTTGCCAGGCTTGTCCGAGCCTGAGTGTCAAAAATGGAGGGGGGGAGGGGTCGGGAGATAAGGACAAGGCCGCCCGCCCTTGGGAACAGTATTAGTAGCAGTAGCAGTAGTAGGGGAGCAGGGGCAGCACTAGCAGTAGTAGTAGTAGTAGTAGTAGTAGTAGTAGTAGTGGTAGTAGTAGTAGTCGTCGTCGTAGAAATAGTCGTAGTAGTAGTAGTAGTAGTAGTAGTAGTAGTAGTAGTGGTAGTGGTAGTGGTAGTGGTAGTAGTAGTAGTAGTAGTAGTAGAAGAAGTAGTAGAAGTAGTAGTGGTAGTGGTAGTGGAAGTGGTACAGTAGTGGTAGTAGTCGTAGTAGCAGTGGTACCAGTACTGGTGCTACTACTGGTACGAGCAAGGGGACGGGTGCTAGTACTGGTACTACTGCCAAGACTAGTGAGTAGTGGTAGTAGCAGTAGCAGTAGTAGTAGTAGTAGTAGTAGTAGTAGTACTAGTACTAGTACTAGTACTAGTAATAGTAGTACTAGTACTACTAGTACTAGTAGTACTAGTAGTACTAGTAGTACTA